CCCTGAGAATGCAGGCTGTGTGTGCCCACACCCAGGGCTGGCTGAGGCTGGGCGGGTCACCGCGTCAGCACCCCGTTGTGGGTGCGCGCTCTCACTCTCTTCCTCTCCGTGTTTCTCAGTTTCACTCATGGAAGAAAGAATGCTTAAATCTAAAAATAAAAGCTGCAACTTGAACGACATCTCTTGGGGGTGGGTGTAGGTGCAGATGGAGAAGAGGACCAAGAATCCAGCCCTAAATCAGGTGGCAGACGAGCATGAGCATGAAGACAGGAGGGGACATGACCAAGGCCAAAGGTCACGTGTGAGGACCCTAAACAACCTGTGTGGTATGATTACACATCATGATATTTGCCCATTACAAATGTGCAGTTCAATGATGTTTGGTGAGTTTCCCTTGGTGTGCATCCCCCTGATAATCCAGTTTAGGACACACCCAGCCCCAATAAAACTTCCCTCCTGTTTGTGCACTCCCTGTTCCTGCCCCTGGAACACTAACAGAGATTTGTCTTTCCTAGAAACTTCTTATAAAATGAAGGTACAGAACTTAATTGTTTATCTTTGGCGTCTTTATTCACAGTGTCCTGAAGTTCAGCCAGTTCCTTTGTGAAGGGTAGTGGAAAGGTCAGCAGAGGAGAGCAGAGAGACCTGGGGGCAGCTCTTCCTTTTAGAGCAGTTCTCTTTTGGGGATCTAACTCCTTCTGAGAGCGAGAACTCACTCAATCAAGATAGCATTAATTGTGGGCCCGCAGGTAGGTGGTGTGGAGGTTAGGCAGCTGGTTTCCACACAGTCAACTATCGTATTAGAGTGCCGGACTGGGCGGCTTGAAATTCATACCAGATGTGTGTGTGTGTGTGTGTGTGTGTGTGTGTGTGTGTATGCCCCAAATCCTGAGAGGAGAATGGAGGAGAAGAGAATGCAGCATGGCCATCCTTGCTGGGGAGTGATTTCTCACCTCCAAGTCTCTCTCTCTTGCTCTAGCTCTCCTAAGTGAGCACACGTGCCCTATAGTACGCTGGGAGAAAATAGCGTTAATCCACTTGGGAGGGTGATGTTCCCCTGATCCAAACACAGCCCACCAAGCCTCGTCTCTTTAAGGTCTTATCACTTCCTAGCACCATACACTGGGGACCAAATTCCAACACATGAGTGTTTGGGGGACAAACCATGAGCCAAACCATAGCAGGAGAAAATGGCGTCCTGGCTATTGTGGAAGATGACCTTGCTCTGAAAAAGGTGTATGCTCATGTGTTAAGAGATAATGTGTCATGATGTCTGCTGCCTACTTCCCAGTGAGGCCGAGACGTTGGACTCTGGCCTCGGAGCTGTAGAGCTCGTGGCTTTCTTTCGGAAGGCCAGAGACAGTGGACTCTGACTTATGAGACAGTGTGGCCTTGAAGGAGGAAGTCAGAAGAATAACATTCAGCCAGGTTCCTGATGCCTTTGCTTTCTTCTTTCTTTCTCTTTCTTTTCTTTTCTTTTTTTGAACAATGTAGCCAAATTTATCAGTCTTATCCTTTACATTGTTTAACTGCTTAAACAATGTGATGAGACTTTCGCCTATTGGTCAAAAGTGGAACTGCAGGGAAGAATTTGGCCTCCTCATATTCATTCTCTACTTGGTCTCTTATGATCTGAGGTTATTTATTTATTTTTTTTTGAGAGGTTTTTGGTATAGGGTGCATGCGCTCGCCAGAAAAAGAGAGAGACAGAGAGACAGAAAGCGAGAAATCATCCCCCTCCCCCAGGGGGGATGGCCATGCTGCAATCCCTTCTCCTCCATTCTCCTCTCCGGATCTTGGGCACGCACGCACGCGTGCCTGGCATGAGTTTTAAACCACCGGGTCCGAGACTTGAACCGCGGTCAACTACATGGGAGTCCAGCGACATAGCCATTACACTAACTGCTGGTCCCATCTTATGATCTTTTTATTTAAGTATGGCCAGTCCATAGGCCAGAAATTGTCGTGGAAGTTGGGGCTCTGGATCACACATGGTCAGCTGTGTGGTTCAAGTGCTGGATTTGGTGGCTTGAAAATCCTGTTGCGTATGTGTGCACGTGCCTGCAATCCTGAGAGGATACTGAAGGAGAAGGAATTGTGGCATGGCCATCGTCACTGGGGGGAGGGTGTTAAATTAAACTGTTTTGGCCTAAAACAGCTGCCGTACTCCCATACTTAGATTCCTATGAATAAACCAAAATTGTGCACATTAGGCTGTTTCCTGAGCTAGATGCTAAGCTAGAGCCAATCACATTGGCCACGCTTCAGTCAGTCACAGAAAGCCCACCTTTTGGGCTGCTTGTCCAGCCAGAGAGTTCCAAAAGTCTGGAGAAAACTGTCCAATTTAAATCATGTTAAAATTTGCTGAATTAAAATTCTGCTCTATTAAAATGGCTGGCTTATTTTTCTTTTAACAGGGCTGATTTCTCACTTTCCCTCTCTCCCTCTTTCTATTACTCTCTGGTGAGCATATGTGCCCTGGAACAAAAACTAAATAATAAATCATTTTAAAAATAACAAAATAAAAATAAATATGACTGGTCCCATGACCAGTTGGCCAAAGGAGCTGGATCCTATAGCCCAGCTGTGCCAGACATATCTGCATGCATGCTCCAATGGAGAAATAGAGAGGATGGTATTGTGGTGTAACCATGGTCTATTGGTGGTCTTGGGGGGGTGCTTTTGTCTGATGTCTCACTGTCTCTCTGAGAGGCACACGTGACCTCTGGAAAAAAGTACCTTAATAAAAATAATAATAATAGCACCTAACATGTACCAAGCACTTACTAAGTCCCAGAAATTGTTCTTAGCTTTACATAAATTTCACTTCCATTGTCACAGTAATCTGATAGGTGTACGCCAGGAATTTTTCTACTTTATTTTTGAAGAATCTGAGGTACAGAGAGACTCAGAAATGTTCCCAAAGACCCTGAAGTAGTAAGAGGAAAGCGATTCCAACCCAAGAAGATTGCTCCAGGCCTGCAAGTTCAAAGCTATGCCGCCTCTTGGGGTGCCTTCTCTATTTCTGACTTACTCACATGGACTGCTGAGTAGAAGCAGGGAGCGGGCAATCACGGGGACCCTCGGAAGGAAGCCCCGGCGGCTGCACCATTTGTCACAGCATTCTGCCGCGCTGGCTGTGCGCATGTGCACAGGATGCCAGCAAGCCAGGGACCGGAGGAAGGGCGCACGATGTGCACAGGCCCCGTGGAGGGCGTGTCCCTCCTCACGTTCACGTGCACGCTCTCTGTTGTGAGCACCACAACAAACGAGGTAGGAAAGAAAAACTCCAACATTTCAAACAAGTGTAGTTTAAATATCTCATTTATTTTATTAGTGATTTCAGAACTAGGTAGTAATTCACTAGGGAAAATAAGAATGAGTGCTCCTGTGGGCATGGCAGGGCAGTTGGTTTTCCTAAGAGGGAAGAAGAAAAGAGAATAATTTTTCAAAGCAGAAGCCATTTTCTCTCTCACAGGTGCCACCACAGTCAGTGGGGATGGGCGTGCACCTCCTCCATGTCACCCTCTCCTCTTCCTTTCCATGGCTAAATCTCTCTTCCCCTCCCACAAGGTGAGAGGATAGAAGAGAGATGTCCCTTCCAGCCTCAGCAGCACCACGGTCTACTTTGCTGCTGGCTACCAGCAGTGTGTGTGGTGTGTGTGTATGATATGTGCTGTGTGTGTATGGTGTGTGGTATGTGTGTGTGTGTGTGTGTATGGTGTGTGGTATGTGTGTGTGTGTGTATGGTGTGTGTGTCTGTCTGTGCCCTTGTGCGCTCTGTAATCTGGGCAGAAAGCATGTGTGCTCGCTGAACAGAGACAGAGAGAAAGAGCAAGAAGGCACCATGTATGTGTGCTGTCACCACAGACCCATCTCCTCCATTTTTTCCTCCTGTGGAGGTGTGGGAATCGACCTTTCGGAATGGACTGCCCTGGGATGTGAGTAGGGAATGGTGCTTTTTATGGGGTGTTTCTCTGGTTCCCAAAGGGGCATGTCATACAAAAACAGGTCAACGGTGTAGTCAGAAGATTCCAGTCTGCTTGTGTCCTTCCCGCTTTGTGGTCGTTTTGTGGTCATGACCTGTCCTGCTGCAGGGTCCCCAGACCTGGTCATTCTCACTGCCTGTGAGCAGGGCTGCTGAATTTGGGCCCAGCCCTGGGGGCAGTCCAGCTGATGCCCAACTCCAGCCTAGCCGATGTGGGCAGAAATGGGCTGGCACATCTGCTGCACTCAGGAGGTCTCCAAATGCCCACCTGGAACACTGTTGTGTGGGCGGCCCAGCTGAGCCCCGCATTTTATCCTTGTCTGGTTTTGGACTTCAGCAAGTTCCTCTTCAATGCGGACGGCCCTCCCTTATTGGAGCTGGAGCTGAGGGTGTTTCCATCGTCCTGGAGCCCGCCCTGGTGTCCCTCTCCTACCCCACCCCTATATGATGGCAGCAGAGGAAACGGCACTCCCTCAAGCCCTTCGGCACCTGGTAGATACTATCCCACCAGGTTTGGTCTCTATTTCTGTGCTGGAGACCAGACCCAGGGCTAAACCCGTGCGATCCTCCTCAGCTCCCATGCCACGCCCTGTAACTTTTTTTTTTTTCTTCTTCACTATAGGGCACATGCGCTCGCCAGAAAGAGAGAGAGAGACAGACATAAAGCGAGAAATCACCCCACCCCCCAAAGGGGATGGCCACGCTGCAATCCTTTCTCCTCCATTCTCCTCTCGGGATCTTGGGCACGGATGCACATGTGCCCGGCGTGAGTTTAAGCCACCAGGTCTGGGACACGAACCGCGGTCGACAACATGAGAATCCAGCGACATAGCCACTATGCTAACTGCTGGTCCCACACCTCCTGTAACTTCTGACAATCAGATGTGAGTCGAGTTGAGGGGAAAAAGGTTTTTATTGCATTTTCCTTCTATCTGGGCTTGGCTAAAGGGAGCCAGGGATGTGCCGCTAGGGTACCCACAGGGCTGGGGGCTCAGCGTCAGGAGGAGGTGGCCTAGTCACAGGTGGGGTCGATGATGCAGTCATCTACAAAGAGAGGTACAAGTCAGGGGGTCACCCAGTGTCAGCTCCCCACCTCATCCCCACGGTACCCTACCCGCCACCTGGCTCACCTGTACTGCAACAGAGGCCTGCAGGTGAGCAGAAGCCTTTGTCCCCACACAGCTTTTTGCTAGGCTGGCAGGGGAACTCCAGTGAGTTCTCCTCTTCGCAGTTCTCCGTGTGGGCGCCGCCCAGGTAGCAGGTGTACATATCACAGCAGATGTTGGTCCCAAAGCACCGGCCGAGGCCGTCGGGTCCGCAGGAGCTGCACTGATGGGCCAGGACAAGCACAGTGTGTGTGCGCGTGTGTGTGTGTGGGGGTGTCCTCGTGTTCTGGTGCTGGTCTTGAGGAGAATTCAGAACCTGGGGCCCCATCTAAGCATACATGGCAGTCAAGGGCAAGAAGTCCCAGCTCCCCTGAAGTCCTGGGGTTCTAAGGTATGTGTGTGTGAGAGAGACAGGGGTGTGGTTAGGGTGCTGGGGAAGGGAGCATCTTGTGGCTGCAGGTCTCTCCTGGCCTCCCCAGCACAGCGGGAAGGGGCTAGGGTGCTCACCTCACGCATTTCCGAGTCCATCCAGTCTCTCTTGCCATCTGGGGAGCAGTCCTGGACGTAGCAGGCTGAGGTGAGCCCCAGGAGAGCGAGCAGGCAGCAGGCGAGGCTGGAGATGGCCATGGTGCTGAGCGCTGGGACCAGGGCTGGTGACTGGGCAGTCTCCCTGGGCGGCCTTTTCACGTCTGGGTGCTGCCCAGGCTGAGTCCTAAGAGGGCGGGGCCAAAACTGGTCACAACAGGTTGCTGTGGGCCAGGCTTGCCAGACTAAGGCTGCATTCCCCCCCACCCCCATCCCCACCATTTGCATGTCCTGGACCAATCAAAGCATCACCTGGGCTAATGGACCTGCACATGCCCGGTGCTGTGGGGGAGGGGCAGGCTAGGAAGCCTGGGTCACTAGAGTAGAACAGGGAGAAGTGGGAGCAGAAATGCCCGAACAAGGGCTATTTCTCTGGGCTCCCGATACAGTAGGGGAGGCGGGGTGGACACTAGGGCCCCTCCAGGCAGGAATAGACTCAGACTGGCCTCCCTGTCCACCCTTATGGACTGCCACTGCACGTGCCTGTCCCCTCCAGTAGAAAGGTCTCCCCCTCCTGAGCCCAAGTCTGACAACCTTCCTCCCTGACACACAGCTGCACCCACTTCCCTGAGCTGGCTCTTAAATGGGGAAAGATCACATTTTTGTCTACTCTGTGACTGGAATGAATTCGGCCTCTCCATTAAGTATGAGATTGACAAGAAATCACAATGCCAGTGGCTTTGTCACAGATAGAAATGACAGGTCACCTCTATCTCATGACAGCTATTGCAAATGTCTGTGAATATTCTTTAGACTTGACTATTCTGAAATTATGGCGTTGTGGGCCCTCAGCTAGAACTTGCTACCTCGCGGCTCAATAAAGCAGCACATTTATGACATTATAAGAATGTACTTTAATGTTTTGAAACCTGGGTATAAATCAAAGCATCTTCAGTACGTCCACGGCGATGTGCATTATGAAAACTTATGCATTTCAAGATTTTCCTGCACCAAAATAAACTTGTATGTTAATTCCTTTTCCACAATCTTTTTGAAGTTCCCCTCGGTATAACTTAATCCTACATGTTCTGTTTTATGCAATTAAGAATTATATTGGGGTCTGGGACCAGCAGTTGGCGTAATGGCTGTGTCGCTGAACTCCCATATAGTCAACCGCTGTTCAAGTCCTGAACTCGATCTCAAAAAAGAAAAAAAGAATTATTTTGGGCTAATTTATATACACACACATCAATAGGAAAATGGGTAAAAAATGTAAAGAAAAGACAGACTGGTCAGAGGGGTGTTGGTTAATATTAACATTGTGAACAAAGAGGAAGAGTCCCTGTCCAGATCCCCATAGAAAGGACTTGCTGGCCAGCGGGGGACACTGGGTAAAACACGGTGCTCTGTGAGGCTGGCTCACCAAGGAAGGTTTCAGGTTCCCACCGAGAGACCTCCCTGAGTGCACTGGTCATGCAGGGTGCCCATGACCTGGGGCTAGTGTGGCTGGGGTAGACTGCATGTCAACACCCAGTGGGGAATGCTGTCTCTCTCTCTCTCT